CCAGAAACAACAACTTCCCCACCTTCGTCTACATCAACAAGTGCAGCATCAAAACCGACAACATTCACATCGAAGCCTACAACCACAACCACAACCACAACCACAACCACAACCACAACCACAACCACAACCACAACCACAACCACAACCACACCCACACCCACACCCACACACCCACCAACCCACCCACACCCACACCAGAGATGAGCACAGGACAAGAATATTTTACCTGTCTTGTTCTGTTCTGCTAACTTTTCTGTCCTGGCGGGCGGGAGAAAAGGACAAAAATAAAAATCTCGTCCTGTCCTACAGGACAGGACAGGACAGGGCACCAGGACAACAGGACCGTCCTGTCCTGTGCTCATCTCTGACCCACACCCCCACACCCACGCCCACACTCACACCCTTAAATGATCAGTATAAATATGAAACGGTCAGTACTAAAAATACCAGTAATTAATTCTGAAATGGTCAGTGAATTAAAAATAAGTATCAGTAAAAAATTTCAATTTGTATCAGTAAAAAATGCAACTTCGATCAGTAAAAAATACAAAGTTTATCAGTAGAAAAATAACCTTTATTAGTAGATATAAATTTAAATAAAGAAAGAAACCACAGTAAAAAAGTAGAAATTTAAAGAATAATTGAAGAAAAATAGAAACCGAATCATTGTATTAGTAAAGCAGTTTTAGTCTTTGCTGGTCTACCTCTTTTTCTTTTCTGACCGATCGGCACTGTCTTTGCTGTTGCTGGTGGTTTACAGTACTTCAAACGAATAGCCATACCCACGATGTGTTTGCATACGTAATTCTTAAAAAAAGCTGGACAGTTGCATTTCGATGTTTTCCAGTGTGAATAATTTTGCATTTCCATACGCCAAATATCAAATGATTTTTTAAATTGACCAAAAGTTGTCCATTTCTTGTTATACTTAATTAATTCAGCTTGTGTAGTTGATTTCAAGTCACGAGCTGGTATATAATATATTTTCGAAGAGTCATTTGGAATGCAAATGATATCTTTTGTTAATTTAGCCCATTGATATGAGGAGGTCCATAATTGCAAAGCTATTGTTGGTTCTGTAGCAAATATTCGTGCATTAGCTAATGATGGATCACGTTCAATTGACCAATTATGAATAATATTTCAAGAAATCGTTAAAAATCTTCATAAAACATGACGTTCTCGAAATGTTCCATCATCTTTGATTGTTTTGTTTGTTGCCTCTAACGCATTATTTGTACTTGGTGCATATAGTTGTAAACCTGCGTACCAGCCATTGTTTAATTTTAGCCACTCAGAATCAAAATAATTTAAAAAATCTAATTAATATTGTTGGGTTTTTTGCTTCATATTCACATTCCATTTTTTCATAAATAATCTGTAGATGCTAATTCAAATGCAGCTGCACAATTGCATAACTGAAGCAGTTGAATATCATCGATTATGTCTTTTCTAATATTTTTATCATCTATTTGACATATACGATTTTCAACTTTTCTTTTCATATGCATCCAACACATTATTTGATTATATGAATTATTAAATACATTTTTGAAACCTTTTTTGATTGAATCTGCAGCATCCGATATTAATGCTGTTGGTTTTAATAAAGTTTTATTGATCTTTTGCATACCAATTTGAAGACTTGAAGATAAATTCAAAATCTTTTGTTTTTTCATTTGAGCATATTGCTAAACCAAATGGATGAAATGCTTTATTAAAATCAGTTGTTCCAATAACTAGTACTGGAAAGCCTTGCCAAACTAATTTATAAGTAGCATCAGCATGTATATGTTGTGACATAGATATCATATTGAGCAAGCGAATAGATGATATAAATATACGAAATTTGTTTCCATCATTATCTTTTACATCTTCATATTCTTGATCTTCATATAATATCTTGTAAGATACAACGAAAGATTCGTTTTCATCGAGTGGAATATTTTGATTATCTTCACACCAGTGTTCTAATTCACCTAAACTTATTTTTATTTGCACCAAATTTCTTTTTTCTATAATCTACAAGATAATTATGTAATTGTGCTAACATTGGCACATTTATTCCTCTTGATTGAAGTGCTCGAAAAATTAGTTTTGGTTTCTTTATTCCATCATTAAATAAATTTTCTATGCACTTTTTAACATTTTCATCAATATCACGAGTTGAGCCATTATGATGTTCGTGTGCAGCTTCTTTTTGATAAACGGTTACTTTACCACTGTCTGCATGGTATAATAGATAAATACTTGCAGGACATTGAGGACCACGACGTTTGACTAAATTGCATCTGTAATAACATTGTCTCCCATCGTCCGTATAGTTTGTGTAATATTTTGACCATTGATTTCCAACTGATGCTTCAGCCTCGTCAGCATGATCAAATGCACCTTTTACCGCCCAAAATTTTGATTCCGTTTTTTCAGATCTTTTATTTCAATTTATTCCATGATCTTCTTCTACCACGTCTTCATCTGATACATCGCTTTCATATTGAGCAACTGGTACCACTTCCATATTCAACAACGCTTCAAATTTTGTACCGGCAAACTATGTTACTTTTAGTTGAAAAATACTAGATATTTATACATTAGGATAGATAAAGACGACGACAGGGAGAAAGTCGAGAAGCTTCGTTCCCTTTGTTTTAGATAGTGAACGATGAGAAAAGTTAAAACAATGATTCTTCTTATTCATAAGATATGTGGGTTAAAAGAAGTAGGTCAAAAGAGCAAGAACATACGTAGAACAGCTGACGAGAAAGAAAAAGAAAATTGATTTATCCTATAACTATTTCAACTTTTATACTGATACTTTAATATAATCTACTGCTAATAAATTTTACTTACTGATTTTTAAATTTATTTACAAACATAATCAATTAATAACTGACCGTTAAAATAATTTACTGATCAGATGTTTACTTAACTGATCATATCATTTTTTCTACTGACCATAAATCATATTCCCAAAAATAAATTCCGAAGGCCAGAGATAATCAAATATTGTATTTGATAGAGTGATTCCGAATGCTTGAAAAAAGTGTTCATCGTCACATTCCTGTGTTCACATAGTGGAGTGTAAGCTTAGACGTTGAAACAAGACAAGATTTACCTACACTCTTCCATTTTGTTCTCAAGATAAAGAGGAAGCACTATTAAAACTGACTATATTATCTATTCACACAGAAAATGAGTTCAATAGCTTGAATAGGTCAGTGAGAATTTTTGCAACTGTATCACTCATCGACCAGAACGAAGGAGTATGCAAAAATAGGATCCGAATGCTAGAGTGAACTAATGCAATAGAAGTGAAAGAGATGGCAGATATAACGGAGCAAAACTCATCTAGTCAAAATCTTGATTGTACTAAAAACTTGCAATGCACAACTGTATATTTATGCAGTTTGTCAATATTAGAAGAGAGTTTGTTTTTTATGGATATCAATCAAACAATACAATCGATTCGTTTTTCTTTTTACGTGACAACAATGGCTGAGGATAGAATATTTAAATTCGTAGTCTTACTTCCACGGAGAAGTATGTGTTGATTTTCATGTTCGGATTATATAATGAACAGTTTGATAGGGTGGCATCATATCAATGGGTTGGCCTTGTCCTTGTGAACCTGTTGATCCACTGATTGAATGGGTATGATTTCCATTCGATTCTATAGTAATGCCTATCGTGCCAGCAGAAATTGAATGCGTATGAGTTCCAGAGTCTGCGCCAAATCCACTAGAGCTTACCATTCCCAAGCTACCAGTACCGAAAGGTCCCGCGCCAGTAATCCCACCATGATTGTGCCCCGGGTCACTATATGAATGTGTGTGGCGACCGTTGCTTTGTATTTGTAGTGAACCTTGATCATGATCATGTGCAGGCAATTCTGCTGTTGTAATCGTATGCAACGAATTACCACCGCTAATTAGCGAAGTGTCATTTGTTCCCTGACTACCCAATGGGAATCGGGCTCGAAAATCAGGTAAGTTAAAAGTGTCAATACCATTGCCAGCTCCGTACGTAGTACCAATGGCGGCAAATAATTCATGGTAAGTACTTCGTGATACTTCCGAACCATTACAAAATAGCCATAGATTATTCTGGTTGGTTAGGGTCGATACACTTCCAGAGTATAGAAGAATTGTACCAGTCGGCATTTCTGAAAAAGTTACAGTTTCACATTTATTTTTATAATAAATTGTAATACTTATCACATATCAGAAATAGTAGTGGAGATACATTATTTTCTAATAAACAGTTTAAAGAAATTTTCTCTACTTGATCTAATAGTAAAAATAAGCAGCTCTACTTTTATGCTAATTAATTATTTGATTACTGTTGAAATAATGCCATAAAATATTGTTTATTCCTCTTTGTTCTCTTCTCCTTTAATGCTAATTCGTCTCTATGCATTTACATGTGTAGGTATACAAAAATCAGTAGCAACGAAACGAAAAACTAAATACAAAATATAAGTTGAACATGTTTCGGCTGCAACGTTCTATCGGTTTTCAAAAAACAATTTACAGCATAACTGAACTATTTCGAGAGAAGCAGCTTTTTCGCTAAAACCAGAACGGAGTACATTATGAGTAAATGTTCCTTAAATATTTCTTTTACAGTACATACTTTAATGAAGAAATGCAAATTTTCCTTTTTTCATATAAATTGAGGACAAAATTGTTTAGATTTCCCTTCGAACTCCGTTTCTTTAATCTTCTTGAGAATAATTTGATATACTGTACATACACCAAAAACAAAGTAGACATGGATCTTTGTATACATTTCAATAGACAGCGAGACATTATGAAGAGGCGAAAATAAAAGCAGCTTAAGAAGATGATGTATAACAAAGACATTATCTACGATGTATAAATAACCGTTCAAATATCAAGACCTCATGTGTTCAAACAGAAGCAACTAGAATCCACGCTTTTGCACTTACAGATAGAACAAAGTATTACCTCTAAAATACATATTTTACAATAAAACTTAGGTGGTAGTTTAAGACATTTAATTTAAATTCTTCAAAACGACTCAAATCGACTTATTACCGCAATCATTTTTTTTCAGTCTTTCTTATTTAATTTAAATTCTATTGACCAAGAAAAGAGAACGATTTCAAACTTAGCAAGTGAACATTGTGGTCTTTCGACTTTATGGAAATCAATCGCCTAATTTTCCACGTATCCAGAATGATCAACAGTAAGGGTTAAGATCTAAAGCATCACGTTGCGCGGTTCTTAGTGACAGTAGTGAGCACTCGTAGGAACAAAGTTGATTTCAACTGATCGAAAATATTCAGCTTGCCGACCCCCATTCGAATATGAATGAAAAAAATTGAAACAGATATTGTATTGAAATCATAAATGAAAGAATATCAAAGGTGTTCAAGATAGCACTTGGCATCAGTTTCGTTATAATTAAGTGAGGTATGTTCAGATTTCCGAAAAAGGAAATTACTGAAATTTTCGAAATTTCCATCAACTCGATAACTACATAGCAATGCAAATCAAAATTTTTTAACAATGTTGGAAGTTTCAGAAATCTTAGAAATTTCGGCAAGTACAGAATTATGGAAATTTTAGAAATTTCGGAAATTACATTATTTTGGGAAATAATGTACAATTTAAAACATTAATGTTGGAAATTTCCTCTTTTGGAAGTCTGAACACTTCTGTCCAAAAGACCAACTCTAAGATTCAAATGACCCGTTCCATGCTCCAAAAGGTCAATTCTATAGTTCAATTGGTCCGCTTCATGGTCCAAAAGGCCTATTTTTGTGGTCGAAAAGACCCATTTCTGTAGTACAAATGACCCTAATATTGACCAGTGGTACAAAACACCATAGTTCTTAGCTGTAGTTCATTATACCACTGCTCTATATTGTGATTCCTTTCACCACTTCAATATAAGGTGGTCCTTCTTGCCACTAATTAATATTAGAGTAGTTTTTACCCCAGCTAAGAACCATGGTAGAACGGACCCCAAAATAAAGCATTGATATAAAGGACGAAAATCTACAGAGGAGAACAGGTTTGTTGCAATGAAAAGTCTTTCGATTCGTTGACGAAAGTGCAGATCTTATGTTACAAAAGCTTAAACTAGCTTCTCCTATGAATTCTGAAAGTTTATTTGTAGAGCAGCTATAGCTGCAAGCCTCTTTTATCATTATTATTTTTCTATTTGGTCATCATTTGACTTAACTATCACTATTTTTGTATGCAATTCTATATAATTATGCAGTCCATCAGTCTAGGGCCAAGCGAATCAATTATCGATGAGCGTTACTTGCTGTTTATTGTTGTCCGAAAAAGATGAAAAACATCAATTCCAAAAAAATTCTTCTCATGGAAAACAGCATAAGGATCGAAACATATCAATGTTCCTCACACAATAAATTATTATGTAGTTCTCCATGAAAGGTATTGTAATTGTTCAAATTGATATTTCTATATACATTAACTTCATCTCATTTTGATATCTGTGGAAGTGTCAGTGTAGACAAAGAATACTTTTGATTTCTGTATAAGGATGCACTAGTGATGGGCAGAGTTCTTAATTAGATTATGTTAATGTAAAGAGAATGGAGAATTAGGCAATGGTAAATGTGTAAGATACAGAATCCTTAAATTCTGTTTGTGTCGCCGCCCCCCCCCCCGTTTCTGATCGTATCTTACGCTGCTCGAAACTGAAAATAACGATTATAACTCCTATGACCAGAGNTAAAAAGAATGGAGAAATAGGCAATGGTTAAATTGGAAGAAAAAAAAACCTTAAAATCTTTTTGTGGCGCCCCCCCCCCCCCCCCGTTTCTGATCGTATCTTACGCTGCTCGAAACTGAAAATAACGATTATAACTCCTATGACCAGAGCGATCACAAAAATGCAGCCGACAATAACAATGGTCGCTATATAAGTGATACTTTGAATTGTCTGTTCATTGGTTGACCTGTAACAGTAATAAAGACAGATGAGTTTACTAGTGATTAAAATTTCCTATTTATTACTTTCTTTCGACTGATAACATAGTTGGCAGTTGTTGGACATGAAAACAAAAATTGTTATTTTATTTTATTTAGAATATAAATACATACATCTTCAGTACGTATATATGTACTAGTAGTAGAATTAATACGGTTCAGCTGTAGATTATTTTTCGAAACACGAGCCTTGGACATCGATGATTGTTGAAAATCATTCGAATGAACATGATCTGTATTGATGGTATCTATCGATGGCCTAGAAGTAGTAATAGTTTAATATCTCTATTGACTGATGTGCTCTAATATTCTAGGGTTTTAGGGGTGAGCAAAAAAACAACTGATGCGCCTTCAGTTCAAGAATGTCTACAATATTTGAATTTCAACATGCCAATCAATACTATTAGTTGATACTATAACTTTTCGTCACGGATAAAATTTGCATAGACATTTTGCCCCACGTATATATTGTCGAATGAAAAAATTTTTGCCAACAAAACGTGGCATATATTTTTTTTATAGTCAGATACATGTGCATGTTGTCAATTAGTTTTGTGAAGGATAATTACGGGAAGTGAAGAAAAGAAAAGAGGAAGTGCTGTAATCTCAAAAACAAAACTACATCGAATTTTGAATTGAAAAAGAATTGAAAGATTCACAAAATGCACAATGCTATTTTCTTAGATATATCCGATGAAACCTAACCAAAAATTCTATTAAATTATGCTACAAAAGGACACTTTCCAAAAAACCTTAACTATTTTCATGCAAAAGAATTTTTAAGTACTCAGATGCCTGTGCATGAACTAATCGTAGGCGGAACACGTGGAAAAAATATTTGAACATAGAAGTAATAGTAGTATTATATTCAGATTCATTTATCGACTGATTTTGTTGTTGACAGGTAACTTGCTAGAATAGATTGTCATTGATCAATGATAGCGGAAAATCCTTTTCAGTATTATAACTGTATAAATCGTTTGTTACTTGAGAATTCTTTCTTTTTACAGACTACAACATATGGATCTGATTTTTCTTCAGCTTCCATGATTATACTCTACAAGGTTAATTGATGAGGGGCTAATATATATTATACTATAAAATACTGCAACATATGCCCTTCAAAAATGAGTCAATTTGACAATCTGTCTGTACAACTGACTCATGAATAAAGATGTGAGTATTCTCCTTCTCTTCGCCTACATCTGCATTCGGATATTTTCCAATAGCTCGTCATGCCTAGCAGTGGTTCCGATAGCAATTTAATAAAAGCAATCGTCACAAAGTAATCACTTACGTTTTGAACAAAGATCTATACAGAATATATATTTTAGACATTTAAGTTACTAAAACGGGAAAGGGACATTTCGCACTAACTTTTCATTACGATCTACAGTGGCATATGTTCGTGACGATCACTTGACATAAGAAAAAAATAGGGTGTTCGGAATGACAAAAAACAATCAAAAATTATAAAAAAAAACAAGGTGTTCGTAGGGATGTGCGGTTCCAGTGTGAAAACTGGAAAAACTGGCGCTGATATCACTGAGCACTGAACACTGGTTACACTGCATCGGTGCACACTGACACGCTGTCGACGCTGGAACGCCGACATAAACCGGTATAGATATGTCTCATATATCAGTAAACGTCGGTGTCCCAGTGTCATCAGCGGTCCAGTGCACATTGGCACAGTGTAGACAATCGTTCAGTGCTCACTGAATCGGTGACGTCAGTTATCAGTAAACTGAAACTGCACATCCCCAGGTGTTCGCAATGAAGGTTGTCCAAAAGATCGTAACGAACAGTGATGGTCGAGTTTGACAGATAAAAACTCGCAATTTGACTGGAGTTCGGATTGAAAATGATCGGAAGATCGTAGCAATAAAGACAGTGAGATCGTAATGAAAGTTAAGGCAAATAAGATAGTAAATATTTGGAGATAATAATGAAAACAACAGGGAAATTTTAATCAAAAAAAAGACAGATTGTTCAAAACTGTGTTCATGTTTACCTTTGTTTGGAAGATGTTAAGGGACTCACTAGTTTTCATTAAAAGATGGCACACATACAATGTCCTAATGAATTCAAGCAGTCAATATTTCTATTTTTGTTACTACTGTAACTCAAGTGCTTGTTTTTATCATTATTATTCCTTACATGCACATGCTTTTTAATACGAACACCATGACTTTTGAAAGAAAAAATGTGTTTATTTATTACTCTACACCGTAAAAAATATAGTTGTTTTACCGAACCTATACCCAGGATAAGGTGTGGGTGTGGGTGTGAGTGTGGGTGTTTTTATGGATACAGGCATAAGAAACACACACACCTCACACCCACCCCAAAAACATATGTATTGAGTTTTTCATTCATTAACTAGTATGCAGTCAGTCTGTTAAGATAGAGAAATTTGCAAATAGAAATAGGAACAAATTACAGAAATGAATTAAAAATTATCACTAAAAATCAATAATATTATCATGAATATTCATTCATAGACTGAGTTGTTACTTGTTTTGCTTTTGCATGGATATCGAATGACGATGATTGATAGAGAAAACCAGCCGTTAATCTTCCTTTTTCGTGGACATCGACAAATTGAATCAATTAGGATTATTTTTGACTGAATGTGTATCGAGTGATGTGTAGCTACTATTGTAATCTATGTGTTGCAATGAGAAGAAAAACAGAAAATGAGTTGCTTGCGTTATCTGGCTCTTTTATGTGTCTCGTGCCATGAAAAGTCATTTAGTGAAAGACATTTGTATGCCGATAATTGATTGGTCGCTATGCTACTGTCAAACAAAAAAAAGTCTCGTAAAAAAAGTTGTGTTCCGAATAGTGCATAAATATTATTTTAAGAAATATTTCAACAATTATTAAGTCAATCAAAAATTCAAGCGAGTATTGATTAAATATTCAAGCTAGATGAATGTCATGCAACATGTCAAAGACATCAAAAATAATGTCCTTCTCAGGCCTCGATTTGTTCGACATCACTTAAAAAAGAATGATTCTCGTTTCTATACGCAAATAACGATGATCAATACTTTATATAATACATTACAATGGTGAATGTTAACGCGTATCCATTATGCACTTTTTCTATTTATAGTCATGAGCTATCGTCAAAAAATTAGATATGCCCATATGAAACGACTATATTTAGTTTATACCAAATCAAGTCATAAAATTTATCTTTAGTTCACTAGCTATTATTTTTTTAATGAAATCCATTACAACACTGTCAGGAGTTGATAACCTTGGTTTTTTTATTGCAAATCAATACGAAAACAGATCAATCTATTTCTTAACGAAGAAGACAAATCAATCTGCTAATCTCAAATCTTGCTTTTCAGCAATCGATTAAAGTGGAAAATAAAATAAAAACTGAAATTCTAAATAATGTGTTTAATATGTGGAATAATTGCAAAGAAATGCAGAGTTTAATTTCGCCGATGCGTTTCATGTTATTTATTTAGATAATCATGAAATAATGAATAGATTATGTTATATGAAACTTTAAAATATTATTTATATGTAAGCATAAATTCGTTTTTATATTCTTTTATTTTATTTTTCTATTTTTATTTTTATAGATGTTCTTATAGAGAATAATAATGTACAGT